CCCCCCCCCCGTTACCGAACTGCTCCCTTCAGGGTGCCCACGACTCGTAGAAAACCGGTAAGAGCTCCCTGAACATCGCTCTTTTCCTGCCACCAATAGTTCTCAAATCTATCAACTGCCATTGTGTTCGAAAAACCGGTGCCTGTGTGTCCAGGTTGGAGGCAGCAAGGGGGGGGGGGGGGAAGGGAAGACCTCGGAGCTTCAGTGGTGGAGAATGACGTGATGTACTGAAAGCGGCTCCAAAAGACTTCTGAGAGAACATAGAAGTTGGAAAACTGACCAAAAGGGCCACTGAAGTCCCGGGAAACCAAGTGGTGCCCAAAGTGGCCCCTCTATTGTTGCACCAGGTGATAAAGAAGATGGCCTTCGTTCGAAGACCTCTTTCTCTCTCTGTGGACGATCACACCTCTACCGGTCTCTCTGTATGTATCGCCGATACTCGTCTGATACCTGCATCTATTGTCTCTGTATCTCTAATTCTGCCGCTCTCGTTGGCGCCAGTCCGCACCAGTCAGGATCCGGTCTCTACAAGGTCGCCACTTCCCCCTATTACATTTGACCTTTGTCATAACACCGCCCGCATCCCGTGTCGAGCACTCGTTCATTTGCATCTCCTCAGTTTCTTAAACTCTCCACGCCTCCATTGTTAAACCCCCTATTCACCCACGTGACCCCTAGGCCTGTTCCTTCCTTCATCATTGACGAATCTTAGGCTCGTAAACATCTTACACCTTCATTTGTCGACAAACCGGTCAACCCTGGACTATACAGTCCATAGCGCTGAACCTTTGTTCAATTTCTAGAGGGTTAAAAACGATAAATCGCATTCCTCTAGCCCTTCTTGCCGTAGCGCCAGGAGACCCAAGGAGGTCTCTATGATGATCAATCAGGAAAAAATCGAGAAATGTTTTGGATTCTGTTCGTCTTCGACCTTCATCATCATTCCTTCATGATCAGTGCTGCCATCGTCATCGGCCGTTTTGTATTGGGGGCGACTCGGGCCATTTGACAACTCGTTCCCGGCAAAACTGGTAGTGTAGAAAATAGAGGCAGTCGAAAGCGAGAAGTGGAACCAGTATCTCTGCTGCCCCATACACACACACAATCCTCAAGTACAATACTAACTGCGCCTGTTTCGACTCTCACCCGTTCATCGCGACGCGACGAAAAATCAAGGACAGGAAACGATCTGCTATTCTGGTAAGCTTAACGTCTGTAAATGAAGTTCTACAAAAAAATTGGTGTCAGGACGGCTGGCCCTGGTCCTGCCGCTCCGTCCTTATCATGGACATTCCAACAAAACCCGACGATAACCCCAAGGTGGCGATAGTGTTGAATGAGTGACTGGGTGGATGGCTGATTGACTGATGGCGGCCTATCAGAAGGTGATATGGACAACAGTAAATCGTCGGATAACAACACTGCAACCACGAAACGGGCCCTTCAGATGTGCCAAAATAGCGCGCTTGTGGCGTGATTGGGCGCTATTTCTTTCAGCTATGGCAGTGTAACAGGTTTCTCGTCAGGTAGTTGGTCAGGTTACGTGCCTAAGATCGATACCATTGTCTTATTTGGAGTTTTTCTTTCATTGCACTGTCTCCTTCAACCGGTTACCATCCGTTCCTGCAAGTCGTTATAGCGGATTCTATGACCGTGTATCAGCCCTTAACCTGTACGTTTCTGAGTAAAGGTCCCGAAAAAGTGCCCAGATACCGCTACCTTTCGGCGGAGGAGAGCGGGCGGAGGGGAGAAGGCTCAAGAATTCAAGCAATTTTCCCTCTACAAAAGTCCAGAAAAGGCTACCTCAATTAGTGCGAAGGAAGAGGGTGGACAAACCTGCCAGACCCGAAGGCCAAAAACTGCAGATCTCGTGTGGATTCTAACTTTACTCGATGGGGAATGATATCGCTACCTTCGGGGGGGGGAAGGGAAGGGGTGGTTCTTAACTAGGAGGGGCCGCACTGGGCTAAAAGGTGGTATTTCAACCCCTTGTGTAAACTAGGATCGCCACGACGAGAATAAAAAACTTCATTTAGGCCCAAGAAGAATCTTTGAAGTGGGCGGATCAACTTCTCCCTTTCCAGCATAGGGGTCTTGAGGCGATTTTGATACCAGTTTTACACAAGAATTCCTTCAAAAAACCCCACTCCATGCGACCGAATTGCCCCAGAACTGCAACAGTTCGATTCCAAGGTTCCACAAAACTCACGAGGCACTAGTAAGCGTTTTTCGGTTACTGGACGCTCCTCCATTGCAGGAGTTTCAGGGGTGCATGAGCAGGACCTTCTCGCAGGTGTTCCACTGACAGCTCCCTGAGATACAGATGAATGCTCGGCACGTCCCAGAATAACTGTTTGATGCCCTTTGCTCTTTGGTAAAGGAGATTTCCTGGTGATCGCATTTTGCGCAAGCCAGTACTTTGCCCTCTTGAGCAATTTTTTTCTAGGATTTTATGCTCCCTTTTTCCCCCTTCTATATGAAATCATTCTCGAGTTAGCTATCCGTCATTTCCTTTTTAGGCAAAACTAGAATTCACGTGAGGTCTGGAGTTTCGAGCATCCGGTCTGTCCGGTCTGCCATTCTTCTTCCTCTCCTGCTATTTGAGGCAACTTTTCCTCGACTCGTGGAAACGAAAAAAAAACTGCTTGACGTCTTAACCCTTCACCGCCGCGCCTGAACTTGTCGCATGTTTGCGAACTTCGATCGAGATCGTCGCAGATGCCGCTCTGAGTTGCTCCGTGCCATCCCTCCATTTCTCTCTCAACGTCGTTTCCTCATACCAAACTGTTTTCTACTCGACATTTCGCAAGCTAGCTAGTCTTTTTGATTTCGTCTGGTCTTATCGAACCGGGGCTCCTTCTCTCTATAAGGCCCCAATTTTAGCAAAAAGCTTGAACTTCTTCGTGTATCTATGGACTTGTGATGTTTGCATATGACAACTGTTGACGGAACTTCCGTATTTGATGGCGTTTGTTTGGTCACTCGCGTACGTCGCCGTTTCGTCGTCCTCCTCGCTCAGTCCACACCCTTCGGATCCTTGGCGGCCCGTTACGTAAATCTACCTCATATGCGAGTTTCGTTACCCTCCCCCCGTTTAGATGGCCCTTTGCAGCACTTGCAACACCCTTCGCTCTCTTATCTTTCATTATCAATCTTCCAAAAAATGTCACTCAGCACAATTGTCCCCGTTTCTGATAAACGAGATCGTTGTCGACGGTCTAGCACCCCAGCAGCACTGTTCCAGATGTCACGCGATTCTTCGGGGTTCTATTCGTTTCCTCTGTGCGTTCGCATAGCGATTCGTAATCGCTCAAGTTCCAGCCTCGGATCGGTCCTTTCCTTTGATTTCTTTGTCATCCATTCAAAAAGTTTCCGAAGTTCTCCCCTCCCCCCTAACCCAAACGATACATCGGGCTGTACTAGGCAGCAGCAGTGGAATAGATTAAATTTCTTGAGCGCCACTAAGCACTTCGTCAGCCGGACGCATTCTGTTGCCTTGTTGCCAATGCGTCATTTCTGCCCAAGAATATCTCTGACGGGCAATATCGAATACAATATCGTATTTTCATATTCTCATAAATATTCGTGGCTGTTTGAGGATGCGGGAGGCGTTCGTTCGGACCCCCCAACGCTATTGTACTCCCGTTTCCTTCAGAAACGCCACGAAGAATTCATTGTGCCCTTTGAACTCGTGCTGAAATCGAATGATGTGTTGCAATGACAAAGAGCACGTCCTTCTCCCCTCTTACATCAGCGGGGAATGCGCTGCTGCGTGTGCTTTATCAGCTCTCCCCGCTTCGCCCCGTGAAGGCGTGGAATTCTTCGTACTGATAAGAACGGAAGAGCGCAACAAACTATTAGCCGATCAGTGTAGTGAACTCTCTCCCAGCTCAGCTTCACTATCACTACCGGATATGAACCCTAACGATTCACCTTGACGATCGGTGAGCCCCGGGGATTTCTCGAGCTCTCACCCACGCCGATGGAACGCGATCCGAGGTCGTCGTCGTCGCCGGTCACGTCACCCCCGGTCGGGGCTAATCGCCAGGCCATCGCGACCCAAATCAACCCCCCCCCCTGTCCCGTGCGCTCTCAGCCGCGTCTGTTACTCATCGCTCCGGCGCGCGACCCGATTTTACTATTTCCCTGGAGTTTCTCGAAAGTTTCAACTTGTTCATTTCTCCTGTTTCGTTCTGACTCTTCCCCAAGGGATACCCATGGCGTTTCTGCAATTTCTCATTGAGCCACCATAGGATCTCATCGCGTATTCCGTATGTTAACGGCCAAATTATATGCACGGCCAAATGAGATTCTAATGAGATGCATGCCGACTTCTCGAGAATTTACCTCATAGCAGTTGAATTGCTCCCCAACGAAGACGGCTCTCAAACCATTCCCAATTTACTTCACAAAGCTGCTAGAAATTCCTCATTTTTCAACCATTTTCCTTCATATTCATTTTTAATCATATTGTCAGGGGAAATGCCAAAAATGGTAGGTTCGGGATGGGTGTAAGGACGAGCATTTTACTCGCAAAGCCGTTAGGGCGTTATTTCTGGGCGCTTATTCATCGTCAGATTCAGCGTTTGAGTCAGACGCGAAGCGACACAGCGTCATCGTCACTGCGCCCCTTTCGTCCACACAATCATTTCTTCTGTTCCCGTCTTCTTCTTTTTTCCTCCCATCTTACTGAGCTCTTCCTTTTTCCTTTTCTTTTTCCTTTTTTGGCCAGTTAATGTCCATTATGATCTTATCAGCTCTTATCACGAACACGTGACTGCTCCTTTTCGCCCAACGGTTTCCTCTACAGATTCTTTCAAAGCTGCTTTTTTCGGCCTTTGGCCTTCGCTCTCAACCTTTTGTCCTTGTAGAAGTGATTGTAAGGTATCCTCGTGTATACATGCTTTTCGTGGCGATTTAAGCCCATCGAGAGAGAAAGTGCAATGATGATTGCAGCATGCTCGCAACGATGAACGGGCAGTCTCAAGCCGGGCTTCCAAATGCCGCCGCTAAAGTCGCTCAACGACAACATTGCTACCTCTGCGATTCTACCCAGATGGCCCTGGGCTATGTGCACGGACTATGTGGAGCCGGTGTGCCGTGGTTGTGTCAATTACGAAGGTGCTGACAGGTATGCCGTCTCCGTTTCATAGTTTCTCGGGCCCAAAACGCGTCACTATTATCTTATCAGTCCGTCTCATCAGGGAGGGTAAAGTGCTACCACTGATTAGCGACCCTTGCTCTTATGAACGTCGTCACATGGTGCTGAATTGGCCCTAGAGCCGTCCGTGTTTTCGAATCGAAAAGCGTCCCGTGGCTCATTGTTTAGGAACCGATCAGTGATTTGTTGATAAGCGCCAGAAAATCGATTGTTTCAGGATCGAAAATGTAATTGAACATGCGCGAAACATGAAAAGAGTTCATGGATTCCCAATCAGTGAAGTCTCCACAACCCGACAGCAACAAGTGAGTCTTTAGGTCCTTAATGTTCCACGCCTGTAGCCCTTAATTATAGCCCTTTCAGAAAGAACTACCGCAACCATCGACCACCACCGCAGGTCGATTGAGTCCTCAGCGAGTTATTCCTGTCCCACCTCAACCTCATGTTCCTCAGTTGCCATCTCAATTGGCTCAGATCACTGATGTGAGTCGGTTACATTCGATAGTAATGCACAGGCATGAATAGTCAAGTAGATATTCCAGGTATTGGCTCAGCAGCAAAGGCTCTTTTCGTTGGCAAGAGGCCAAGGAGCTGGCCTCTCCGTCGAGGATATCGCAATGCTCCAACAACTACGAAATCCTATCAATTCCCAATTATTGCATCCTGGTAAGTAGTTTCAGATTTCCATTCGTTTTTCAAGAATCCCCATAAATAAGGCCACTTTCAGCCGTTCAAATGGGCTTCCAGTCTCAGCTAATGAATGGACTTCTACCGGCCGGTTTTAATGCGGCAATGGGCAGAAAGCGAGAACATGACGATGATGTAAAACCTGAGCTTTTCGGCAAAGTTCAGAGAGGTCAGTCTCGTCGTTCATTTTCAAACGCCCTTAGATGCCACTCTGAGAAATGTTCACGTTTCGTTTACTTTTTCTGTTTGTAAGTCGTCTTGCATGACTCTCGCCCCAGCTAGAGTGTGTGTGTTGCGCAAGAGCCGTTGGCGAAACCGGGTTTTCTGGACGGGAACCGGTTTTGATGAACTCGCTGCGTCTCCCGATATGACCCGCTCTCTGCATAACTTTAGCGCTGCGTCTCGCTGTTTGTCGCGTTTCCTCTACTACGACCTCTCCTCGTGCCAACGGGTACCGACACCGAGAATATCCGCGACCCTATGGGTGCCCAACTTGTGCGATCGTCAAAAGACTTCGGAAAGGAGACGAAGAGGGACCGCCAAACAGGAAAAAAAATTGGGAACACTTGACGCCTGCAACATTGACATCTGCTCATTGATGCAATGATTTCAGATGGGTCGATTTTTTCGCTCGTCAAAGGACACTCGGGGCACAAGAACGTTCTGGCGTTGGCTAATCCGCCGCTTTAATTAGCATAGAACTGAATTGTAAATGAACGGCAGGCAATGTGTAGAGGAGCTGGCTGGTTGGCGCTAGCCGGAATGCCAGCCGGGGTCGATTTGTATTCATCCCCATGGGTCCTCCATAGACGTCCGACTACGAATCCACTGTAGCATTTGCTGCTGGTACTGATCGTGGCAGCGCATTCCATTCACCCAGTCACCTGGCTAAGCGGAGATAAGGAGAAATAGAGATAGACGGGGTGGTTTATCAGGGAGCCATGCCCCGATCAGGGATGGTCGGGGTCACACGTGACCCCATTGTCTCTAATAGCACGATGTCGTCGTTTTCAGGTTCGATCTTCTTTTTGGCCGACGGCCTAGTTATCCGAACGTGCGCGCCAGTGCCGCAACGAAATGGTTACGCAATCCAATTCAACTGGTTGTCGCGACGTCGCTGGTGATGACCCACGTCCGTCGACCCCACAAAGCGCGTCTAATGGGGCTAAGTACCCGCCGAAAAAACGAGTCCCCAGTTTTGCGAAGGAGTCCTGTCTAACAGACGAGGTCACTGACTGAAAAACGCGCCTAGTTTTGAGGGCGCCCTAGCGCGAAATGACATCATTCGTGAATTTCTTCTGAATCATTCGGGGTTCAAGACGTTGAGACGAGCCGCCCGACTGACTGGTGCAATGTGAGATGACCGCAGTTCTTCTTTGCACTATCTCCATAGGGATCGCGCTCTGAGTTGTGGGGGTTATCTCATCCCGAGATCTTGTCGCGGATCGTACCAGTCGCGTGTTAAGGTCGTTGAAGGCATCGGCCTTGCTGCCCATAAGAATGTTCCAAGGTCGCGGTTTGGGATGCCAAAGTCCTGACTCGTCCTGCAACGGTGAGCTCTTTCCGGCTGTGCCACATTTCACTTTTAGTTGTTATATCTGCCGAGGTTGCGATGTCGCGTCGGATGTTTACCTGGGAACGAACCGGTTCCTCGCCCCGACAGCGAGGGTGCGCACGGGTCAACCACCGCTGCTACGGAAATTCCGCGTGTGCGTTGCGTGTTGACATACGTCCCGCTCAAATCTCGCGAGTTGAATGCGGCCGTCGCGAATCGCGATCGCTCGAACCGGTCAAAGTGCTTGCACAACCTCTCCGTTTGACTCTTAACCTCTCTCACTCACACACACACAGCACACGTTCTATACCGTAATCCGATGGTGACGACGTAGAATATCAGACAATTTCAGGAGACGCACAAACAACGTCCGTTTCGCCCACGTCCACACACAGCCCTGACCATCCGGACATCAACGCCGAACGGCGACGGTTTACCACCACCGGGTTAGTTCTCAATCACGCTGAATAGGACTGAGCAGACATACCTACGAACTACATCTGTATGGGCTTTTTCTCAATATCCTCAGGGCTTTAAGCTCTAGTTTAGTGTTTTCAGGGAGCGCGTTCTTCGTTGCACATTGTGCAACCAAAGGCTTGAAGACACACATTTTGTCCAGTGTCCCAGCGTTCCAGCCCACAAGTTCTGCTTCCCATGTTCCCGTAACTCCATCAAAAAGCAATGCACCGGACAAGTAAGTCACTGATGGCACCACTCATCAATTATGAAGGTGAAAAATTAATTTCCCCCTTGGTTTTCAGGATCTCTATTGCCCGTCCGGAGAAAAATGCCCATTGGTGAGCAGCGTGATGCCATGGGCGTTCATGCAAAGCGAAATTGCGACCATACTGGGTGACGAATACGAAGAATTCAAGCGCCAAAGAGAAGCCGCTGGTCTCAGTGCTCCCGGAGTCAACACATCGCAAGCACAACAGAATTCACAGGTTTGTTAAGGATCAGATTATAGGGCTTAATTCCGAGCAAGAGTGTCCGAAAGACCCTATTTAGTCATCAAGTTTGGGAAAGGCTAATGAGGGGAATGGAAAGCAGGACCATATCCAGGTGGTTACAGACCATATTTGGCGCAGGGGCGGTGGGTGGTTCAGGAGATTCACGTTGCGCGGACACCCGAAAACTAGCCAAAATGGTTCATAAGTGCTCTAGAAAGGTTATGGTAGTTGGAAAAATTCAATAAATATTGGTAAGTGGATATTGCTGTCGGACCGCGGCCCTAAGTCCGGGGCCCAATAAGAGCTTCGAGAAAACACTTCGTGACACTTTGCCGCCTATCGATGCTTTGGGCATGTAGCACCACTTCCACATTGAATCAGTTAAGTCTTGGTGCGAATGCCGCGCACGTGCCCTGCTCACCTTGAGCTTTAGCCCCCAGAGCTGGGATGCATGAGATGAGCAACGAACTGGTTGTTGGGGATTGGAGGGAGAGGGGGGGGAGGTAGTTCAGTTTTCCTAAAGGTTAGTTAGCTCTTACCTCTCAACATTGTGGAAATGAGCATATAGCGCCAAACTGGACTAAAAATTGAGGCGGTGCAAGAAGGGGATAAATAAACCACAAAACAGGAATAAAAGACTTGGACCGCTCCTTCCTGGAAAAGTTCAGCCGCAGATTCTAGTTGTCGCGACGGCGAAAGAGGAATTGCAAGTGTGTTACTTGCGGATTCGCAAAGGGTCTGCTTATTGTAGCTGCTATAATATGTCAAATAAAGTATGGTAAACGTCGCAAGCAGTCGGGAGGGGGGGGGGTGAGGAAAGGGCGGGGGAGGTTCAAGATTGATGGAATGAAGCCACCTACGGGGTCCACATTGGCTATCTTCTCCCAGAATCGATTAGTAACCGATTACTATTGGTAGAGAAATGCAGCCAGAGGCGGGCTTGTTCGGCTCCTCCTCGCACCGCCCCAACTGACTGCGACGATACCAACTATACCCATTCGCGCGCAATGCCGCAACGCGGATCTCCTGAACTGCACCCGCTTTCTCCCTGGTTTTCAAGCATTCCTCCAAAGCACTTAATAACCAGTCTTTGAGTGGTGAAAACCTGATTGTTCATCTTTTAGCAACCAGCTCAGCAATCATCACCGGCTTCAACGACCACCTCGAATGCCTCGTCGTCATCAGTCGCCACCACGCCGAATATGATGGTCAACTAACCCAGCGCCACGACATTACACCTCTACTAGCCTTACGAGGCTAGCCCTTGAACCGGCAAATCTTCCACCAATTCTGTATATAGGGAATTCTCACCCGGACACACTGACGCATTGACAAGTCTCCATAAAATTTGGTGATCAGTGTACGGACAAGAATGCCTTCCACCATAAACCCTTTTCTTGTTACTTTTCGATCTCCCATCAACAAGTGCATGTGTGGGACCATATATATGTTGTATGTGGTTCTATAATTTTTCTCTCGTGTGTTTTTTTCTGTTTATTTTCCGAATTAAATGCCGATTATTTACACAGTGTGATATATAATTTACCGTGTGTGTGTATGTGTGTGTGCGACCTCCTTTCTTCCCATCACATCAAGTAAATATGTAGTGCTCGCAACGGATTACTGTAAAGCGCTGATCACTGTGTAGTGCAACGTTTTAATAACTAGCACTCAAGAAACACTCGAGGCGTCCTTGTTCGTCGTAATGCACGTTCAAATTAATTTTTGATTTCAGCAAAATCATGGTGAGTACCGCTATTTCTGAGACAAGGGGCCGATGAGGAGAGGCCAAAGCCGCGTAGACGACTAGTCGTGTCGGTAGCAAAGAAATATGTGTCGGTTTTTCCTATACCGAAACCGAATCGAATGGGATTGACGAGTTTTCTTCTTTCGCGCATGTTTCTTATGCGCCCAACTAGGTTACAAGTAAAACAACATTTAGAATAATCTGTTACAGCAAAACGTAAAACTCGAAGCTAGTCAAGAGATCGAAAAAATCAGGCGGTTGTGTCGCTTGGAGGGGGCATTTCGCACTTCTCAAATTTGTTTTGTTAGTATCTGTACATTTGTTGGAGAGCTTAGCACGCCGTGGTGGTAGTCTGGCGATTCGTTGCGGTGAGGTGTAGTCAGTTTGCTTAACCGAGGGAATGGGAACAGGACTTCATAAAGTTGTTGGTAAAAGCTACAGCTGACGGACAGTTGCGGTGGCCCACACCACAGCCGAACTGGCGACAAAAATCCTTATGATAATATGTGATTAGGTTGGAAGGATCCGCAGATCGATGGCCAATAAGGACAGAAACCTAGTCTAGTAAGCTGTATGCTGTGCCAGCTCACCCTAGCCCAACGCTCTACTTATAATCAATTATGATCCTAGTGGCAAAACGACGCAGCAGGGCAAACTGCTTCACTGATCTCCTTTGCTGGTTTAGCTGACAAACGTGGGAACACCATGGGACAAGGCCAATCTGTTCGGCTGGAAAAAACAGAGATTTGAATATAATCTCAAGTTATTTTAAAGTTGTAACTCGCAATTTACAACTCCTGACATGGCTCATGTGTCACCGCCAACTAGTCATCTTTCCCAGTTCTAATGAATCTGCCCAGTTTAAATTGCAAATAAGAAGAACTAAACGATAAGCATCCCTGCGTCGGTCGAACTAGTTTTTGTGATGGCCTTACAACTTCAAATTTAGAATAAAAAATCATGGCCTTCGAAAAATCCCGTACTGGCGAGGGCTATCGTCTTTATACTCCAGGCAAGTCTTATACTCCGCAGGCGAGTCTGGTGTCAGTCAGTTCAGTTTGCCACTCCCTAACCGTGGGAGGCTTGGTTAGCCGCGACTGGAGCCGATCCTAAATTTGACCGTTAGACCGTGGAACTGCATGCTGAGCTGTAGAGTCAGCTGTATCACCTATGCTCCGATCACCGAGTCTCGTGGGGTAACAGTGAGGTCTGCATTCTTTCCCTTAACGTGCTGGAACTGCCCCTTATTTTCTCGGTGCTCGCGGGACACGATACCATTCGTTCAGAGCTTTCACGAAGGACTCTGAGCATCAGTTTCTCGGTCGTCTGGGTGTTCGTTTGACACTGTAGTACAAGGGACAATAAAAGCTAAAGAACCTTCTCTAGCTCTATAGCATTAAAGCATATTGGTGGTCATACGACTTAATCGCAGCCACTGAAGCACTTGATCACCTGTATACTGTTGCCAAAACAGTGCGCACAGCTCCTTCATGTTCCTAATGCCTGTGATAGCGGTTCGGAGACCGATTCCGCGACTACCGGCGTGCCGAATCCCTCCGCTGCACAGGAAGGCACGCTGCGCAATCGCAGAGCATGTTCGACTGGCGCGACTCGAAAGTGCTGTATAAAAGCGCTACGGCTTGGCGATGAAGAGCTATCTCCGCCTCCCTGAGCTATATCCGCCTTTATCATTTCGTTTTACCATGGCTTTATGGTGAAAGTTCCGTTCTTTTGCATATTTTCTGGCCATACCACGGTCTGCTTGGCAAAATTCGGCTTTGTGGGGGCATTTTGCAGGCTCTCATCAATTACTGCCGGTGCCAGCTGTAGAGACCTTAAACTCTTATAAGAATCACAAGCAACAACTGAACTCGACAAGAGTCTGCAAGTCTCACCTAGGTGAGACTTGTAAGTGAACAGGAAGTAGAGGCAAAAACTAGCGAACAGGAGAAGTGTCTTCTCCTGCCTCAAGCAGAATAACGCCGTCTGGCCTGTTTTTCACGCCTCATCTCTTTGCACCGCATGCGCTCATATAATGCCAAGAACACCAGTGTTCTTACTGAGGGCACTGGTATCGACAGTTCGATTTGCTTTTTCTCCATTTGCTCTTACTATGCTGTTACCACATGGTCTAATAATTTTCAGCTCTACAACTACAAATATCTTGGGTGTAGCCAGCAACCACAAAATGCACCATACTTTACCTTCTTATGACCATGAGGAGGAGCTGTTGTAGCAACGAGTGACACGCTTACCACTCGCGCGGTCCCGGTTCGAATCCCGGGTCGACCCGCCCAGGCCAACCAAGCCTTCTACCCCCGGGGACGGTAAATTGGTACCAGATTCGTCTGGGAGGATAAAACACTGACTTGTACATCGGCAAGCCCGGAAGTCATTGTATTGGCCGTATTGCAAACTCACCACGACTACTAATGGAAGTAGAATGCTTACCACATCCCAAAAGGGGCTGTTCGCAAAGGCTTTATCTCTTGCTCCTCCTTTTACTGTATCTCGAGGGGGGAGGCGGTAGGTAACAGTGAGCTGAATGCATTGGCCTGTTCAGCCAAAGATGCAGGTAAAACGATAATTGACCAGGCATTCGACTTCAGTCAATCTCCTTCCAGAACACGCCATGGGTCCCACTTCCAGTCAAGGTGGTGTTCGGCCCAATTCGGCTCGGAGGGGGCATTTTGCTGCTGCACATCAGTCTATTCTCCCTGTAGGGACCTGTGAATTCCTTTGAAGCCTTGCAACAGCATGAGCCTCCTTTACACTTGAAAACAGACTACAGATGTTACCAAGGTGTGACTTGTAATTCAACAGGAACTAGCAAAAGTGCAAAATGCCCCTACCAAGGCTAACTGCCTCGTGATAGAATTTGAAACCGATTTGGCCTATACAATAGCTTGCGTGCTTGTGCTAGCGTATATGATGGCCGATAGCCTGTACGATGCAGAAGTCAGTCTTCTTGCTTCACAGACGACTCTCCAGGTACCATTTTGTCGTCCCCGGATAGTAAAAGGCTTGCATGGCGATTCAATCCAAGGAGTTCACTTGTCACTACACCACCCCCATCCCCTTAC